CAAATTGACGGGGCGTGCCCCCGAGGCGATTAGCGCGGCGCGGCGGCGCAATTTGGGTCGGCCCGAGGCAGATGGAGTCGGTGAGCTCGCAACGCCACGCAACAACAAGATTGCGCGGGTTTCGCGCCGCTTCGCGCGTGGTGGCGCGGAGCAGCGGGCTGGGCAGATGGGGCGCGTCGTGGCAGCGACGTCGGCGGGCGTTGTTTTGGTGCGCGCACTACCCCAGCTGCGCGATGGGCTTTGCGCGGCCGCGCGCGGCGCCCGCGGCCGAAGTCGCGCGGCAGGCGTTCGATTGAGAATCCGTCAGTGGACGGCGCTGGTTGCGGCGGGTGCGAGCCCCTCCGCCGCGCCCGCCATCAGTCTCCCCCCCACCGCGCGCGGCTGGGCGCGGTTGCTGGGAGCGGCGGCTGCGACTGCGGCGGGGGCGACGAGGGCGGGCGGGGGAGTGCGTGGGGGTGTGTGGGGGGCGGGGGGTGCGGGGGGCGACGGGAGGGGCGGGGCGGGGGGGGGCGACCAGGGCGAGCATGCGAACGGAGCGAGGGGGTGGGGTGGAGGGGCGCGCTGTGGGGGAGTTGGTGGACGAGGGGGTGGGGGATGGGCGAGGAGGGGGGGGTGGGCTGTGGAGGGCTGCGATGATGATGGGGGTGGCAGGCTTGAGCGATCGGAGTCGGCGCACACAGCGGCCGTCGGCGATCGCCGCGCATGTCGGCGTGCCTCGGGGGCGATGGCTACATCGGTGCCCAAAGGTGCAGGGGGTCGCCCGAAACATCGCTGCGAATGGCGAAGGGGCCCGCAGCCTGGAGGCGCGGGCGGATCGCTGATGCTGCGACCAATGAGCGGCTGAAGGTGGCTCCAACATCGCGGTGGGTGCGTCGGCGACTCGGTGGGTGGCTTGCCACTTTGGGCTTGGCGGCGTGCTGCTCGGGCATTGTTGCGGCCACTGGCGGGTAGCGCGGGCTCGGGGACTTGCTGGGCCATGAGCCACTTCTGGGCGCTGTGCACCGCTGCCGAATCCAAATTTGGTAGGCGCCCGTTCGTTTTTCGGTTTCTCCTTGCCGCGCCAGGGCGCGGTTCTCCTGGGCACATCGGCGCTGTGGGGGCAGATCCAGCTGGCGCCCGCGGGCCATGCAGGAAAACGCAATTGTGGGCGCAGCTCAGCGCGGGCGCTGGCTTTTTTTCGCAGTCCCCTTACACCTTTCCAGATGCCCACCCCTCCCCCCCCCCCCCCTCCCCCCACACGCACCGCTTCGCAGCGGGCGCGCTCGTTTCGCTCGGCGTGGAGCTGGGGGCCTCAGGCGGGGTGCGATCGGGCGGCGTCGGGGTGCCGATTTCGGACAGTGGGGCTGTCGTTGTGCGAAAAGACCAGGTCCTCTGCCACGGCGCTATTCTGCGTGCACCGCAGTTCCTCCAACCCTTGCTTGCAGCGGTTCGCTGGTCCGCGCTGGGGCCGCCGTGGGCAAGACGCGCGGCCGCGCGCGGGAACAGGTGCCGCGTGGCCGTCGGCCTAGCGCGCAGCGTGGCCGACGCAATCAAGTGGAACACGACGACTGTGACAGCGGCGGCCGCCTCGGGTTGCGACGCAACAGTTCAGCAATGTCGCCGATAGCGTTGGGCCCAGAGAGGTCGAACCCACGGCGCGCGACGAGGGTTTGGAAAGCGTTGCATGCGATCTGCGCAGTGTTGCGTGGAGGCAGCATGCACCTTCCAGTGTTCGCAGAAGAAGCTCGGGGATGCGGGCCAGCGCGCGCATGGTCAGGCCGCAGCCCTCGGGGCCGCCACCGCCGCGCAACGCCGTCGGGGCCGACGAGTATGGGGCTGCGAAGAAGACGTTCGTTCGAGCGAGCTCGCCAGCGCAGCCGAACAACGCCCATCCTTTTCCCAGCTGTGTTTGGGCGCGAACCAGTTTGGCCAGGGCCTAGACAGGCCCGCCCCAGCCCAGCCAGCACGACGCCGCCTGGCCTTGGGCCGCCGCTGCTGGCTGGGCGCGCGGGCTGGCGGCGCCCGCAATGGCTCGGCAGAACGACGGCAGCGCCGCGCTGGGCGATGGCGGCGGGGGCAGCGCTCCGCGGGCGCGCGCTGCTGCAGGATTGGCACGCGCGAGCGCGGGAAGGACGTGCTGCCCGTGCGTCGCGGATTGTGTGCTTTGCGGCGCCGCGCCATCGGTCGACGGTGCTGGTGCCGCAGCCCGCGCGGGCCATTTGCGGCGCCGCGCGCGCCCCGTTTGCGCCTGGGCATGGCGAGGCCAGCAGCGCCCCGTGCGTTTCTTGGGATCGCGCGCGCGCGATCGCGCAGGAGAGCGGGGAGGGGGGGGGGGGCGACCGCGGCGGGGGCGCTGGGGGCTCGCTGGGGCGCTGGCCCTTTTTGGTCGCCCCCCCTGGAACCCACGAGGGCTTCCAGGCCCGACGCGCGGCGGCTGCCTTCCAGTAGCGCCGCCGAAGGAACGCGCAGCACTGCGAAGAACCCTTGGTTGCTAACACTGTTGCCCCGACAACCAGCAGTGGGCAAGGTCGCGTCGGCGCCCGACAGGCGGCCACGGCCCTCAAGCTACTTTGCGAAAACGTGACAGTCGCACAGGGCAGCTCCTGTCCGTAAAGCTTGATGGGCGCAGAAGCTCGATCGTGGGCAGGGGCGCTTGCCGCCCGCAGCTGCCGCTGCTGCTTGTATTCAGGTGTGTCCCCAGCCCCTCGCCAGTGCCTCCCCAGGGGCGTCGGCAGCTTCTTGGGCTTCTTCGAATTGCACCCCGCCCGTTCCAACATGGCCATGCCCCCCTTCTGCAACATCCAGGGCCCCATGGACCGCGATGAGCATCGCCCCTCGCACCTGCCCCCTTCCACCGCAGCCCCCCCCCTCTCCGCCCGTCGCCCCCTCGCCTGCCCCCCCCGCGCGAGGGGGCTTGCACCGTGGTCGGGGGGGGGGGGGGGGCTGGCTGCGAGGGGAGCAACGCGCGCGCGTTTTGCAGCAAGATGGGCAGCGTTCAATACGCACCGCGCATCTCGAAGCATGCGTGTTCGACCGCGTCATGTCGTTAGCGTTTCTTCCTTTGTGAGAACGATGACGCCGCGGAAAGCCATATGGCAATGTTTCAAACCAGCGTTGCCGATGGTTGCGCGGTGTGCGCGCGGAAGCGCGCTGCGTTTGCTTTGCGCGCTTTTGTTTTATTTTTTTTTTTTCCGGCAGCACTTTTCAAGCTGCGTTTCCCAAGCATTGTTTTCCTTCCGCCTGTCCAATACAAACGCGGTGCGCCGATTGCGCCCAGCCCGCAGAATCCACCATGCCGATGTGTTCCGCCATCGTATGCACAAACGTGGCAAGCGACATTCTTTTTCGGGGTTCACGTCGTGCATATCCCCGCCCGCCGATGCTGTTAAGTGTGCGCGGTTTCCGTTACCCCAACGGTGCCAGCTTCGCTGCGCGTTTGTGTTTGTGTTGTTAACGGGTTTATACGTATTGTTTCTTCACTTTTTTTGTAGGGGTTCCCTTGTATGTGTTGCAGGCGAATGCATGATGTATGTGTTTCCCTTGCGTTAGTACATGGTAATACAACAGTTTTGTCGCGCGTCGCACACTTGGTTGGCCCGTGGGTGCACATCAGTTTACTTTGGCTTGTGCGATGGGATTACCAGTGCCACTTGTGCGAAGTTGTGCACTGTGACCGATTGTCTGGCCAGAGCCGTGCACGCCCGCACCCCATGCGCAACCAGTATTTAGCTTGACGGTAGGAACTTACGACTGGCAATCCGTCGACCGATCGGGGGTGCGCGCGCGGGCGCGACCAGGGCGCCGCCGCGGGAGGCTGCGGGGGGGGGGGGGAGGGGCACGGCACGCTGTGCGTTTGTGCGCAGCAGCACACCGTCCAGTTCCCCCAAACAGTGCTTGCACTTACGGGTTCTTCCTGGAATTTGCATCGTAGGTTGTACGTCATGTGTTCTACCGCATGCATTGCACCGCGTGTAATGTTAGAAACAACTGTTTGGTGTCCACGCCACGCAGGCAAACGTATCATGCGCGTGTGCGTGCATGGCTTGCGTGTGCGGGGGCGCGTTGGTTTTTTCATGGTTTGTGCGTAAGCATGGCGTGTGTGAACTTATGGTTGCGGGGTCTGTACGCTGCCGAATGTGGCATGGCTGTCGTGTCGGCCTCAGGGCGCCTACGGTCGGAGTTGCGTCAGTAGCAGGATTGGGCGTGCCACCCGTCTTCTCAGCATCGCGGCCTTTGCACGTTTGTCATTCGTTTGGTTGCAAGGCGGCCCCTCAGGGGGCTGCGATGGGCATGTTTGGCGTCGAGGGGGGGGCCGCGCGTGCCAGAGCGCAACGTTCGCCGCTTTCCTCCGCTCGTCGGGGCAGGCCGCGGCGGCGAGCCTGGGGCAGGGGCAGTCGTCGGAGCCGTCGGCGTTCACTGCGGTTCCTCGGTTTGCCATTGGCGCCGCAGGGGGGGGGGGCAGTAAAGGCGTTATGTGGCATTTGTTGCGTCCGAGCGTCCAGGGGCGGCCCATGGGGCCTAGCGTGGGCGATCTCGGGCAGTTGCAGCCGTGTTGGCGCATGAGTTTCCTGAGTTGCTTCAGGCAGGAGGTTGTGGCACCCAGCGCCTGGCGCAGACACGCCCCCTCGCCATGCCTGGCGGCGAGCCTCCACCCAAGAAGGCCAGGTCTGCCATGGGGCCGCCTCCGCCTCCGCCGAAGCCTCTGCCGACGAAGAGGGCGCCAGCAGGTTCGAAGGCGAAGTCGCCTGCGCCTGGGGCGCCTGCCGCCGCCAGCGCGGCCAGCGCCGCGACATCGGCGGCGGGCTCCGTCGTCGGGGTGATCCCTGCCAAGAGGGCGCCGATGAGGAAGGAGCCCGTGGGCGATTCCTGCCAGTGCGGCCTGTGCAAGGCGATGGCCAAGGACATTGGTCGCGTCGAGCCGTCGGCCGCCCCCTGCCTCTCACCCACGTCCTCCCGCGCGCCCCCGACGCCGCTCGCGAACCCCCTTCGCGGCCCCTCCTCGCGCGCGGGGTTCGCGAGAGGTCGGGGGCGTGCGGGCGGGCCAGCAGGACGGGGAGCCTTGGGCGCTGAGGAAGCTGCAGAAGAAGACCGCAGGGATCATGGAGGTGGCGATGGGCAACAAGTGCGAGGAGTGCTTCTCCCTGTGGGTTGACGCGTTCAGCCACTTGGAGTGGGGCGACCTCTGCGAGCTGAGCCAGGGCGACGAGGAGATCAAGCAGTCCGTGATCACCGCCAGGAAGGTGTTCAATGAGCACGAGCCGCCGCCGAAGCCCGTCCAGGAGGCCGCCGAGCGCACGGAGCACACGATCGAGTCCAGGAGGTCGTACATCGTCTTGACGGAGTCCGACTTGGGGAAGGCGTTGGGCGCTAGGCGCATCACGAAGGCTGCGACGAGCTCCTTGTATACCGCGGAGGTGCCGAAGGAGGATGAGGATGGCTGGGAGATGGCGTATTGGTTCGTCAACCCGATGGTGCCCTACAGGACCGTGGACGTGGTATCGCGGACAGGCGTCTCCCGCGATCACTTCGTCATGGGCCGCACGAAGCAGTTGTGGCCCAACCAGGGGCCCGTGATGAGCACCCACAGGACGCAGCTCATGCACAACGAGAAGGGCATCATGAACATCATTACCAAGGACAAGATGGGCTACCTGTGGAAGCTGGAGGACTTCTTGCAGTCCAGGCTCGGCGAGAACACCGAGGGCGGCACCGAGGGTCAGGCGGGCGGCGGCGGCGAGGGCGCAGCTGCCGACGGCTCGACAGGCGGCGGCGCATCGGATGATCCTGCAGACGATGATGACGTCGAGCTGGTTGGTTGCGCAGCGCCCCTTCCTGCGCCTCTCGGCCAGAGGGGCAAGGCGTTGCCTCCAGGCGGCGCCCCGCCGAAGCAGGCCGAACCCCTTCGGCGCGCAGGCTCGGGCGTCGCGGGCTCGGCGAGCTGCGTCGGCGGGTCCCCGAGAGAGTCGGCGTCCCAGTTCGGCGGCGGCATGTCCGAGGACGGGGGCGCGGCGTCCACCGCTGGCTACATGGAGGCTGGCAGTGCAGGCTAGCCGCGATCGTTGTGTCGATAGAATTGTGCATGTATGAACGCGGGGCTCAGCCCGAGACGCGCGCCGAACTACACATTGATGGTCAATGTGTAGTTCTGGTTAGGTGTAACATGTTTGGCCTTTATTGCCCTGGGGTCCCTGTCCAAACATCAGTATCTCAAAGAAATCCGCAGTTCCCTCGCTCGGGGGAACTGCGCGGTTCGTGGGCTGGCGCCCCAGACACCCGCAGTTATTTCATGTTGGCGACGATGGGGGATGAGCAGTGGTAGGAGGAGGAGGAGGAGGAGTGGATAATGGAGGTTGGATGGCAGTGGTGTGATCGAGGGGCCCCGCCTTGCCTGCCAGGCAGCAACACGGTGGAGTACTGGAAGAGCAAGATCGACCTGTCCTTGGTGATGGACGGCCAGGTGGACGGGCGGACCATCAGTGCGTGCAAGAAGGCAGCAGGTATAAAGATGGCTGCTGATGACGAGGCTGCCAGGCTGGACGCGCAGCTGCTGAACAATTTCATCAAGCTGATCCTCATGGCCCAGGCCCTCCAACCTGCCACCATTCAGGGCATCGAGAAAAGTGAGCTGGCCATCTACCTGGGCAAGATGAAGGATGAGAAGGTCGAGTTTCCTTTGGGCACCAGCGAGAAGCTCTTGCACCTGAAGATCGCTGGCCAGCAGCAGCTGGGGAATATGATCGGTCTCTTTGATGCCCTGGACCCGTTCACTACTTCAGAGCTGGCCTCAGGTTTCGACCCTGAGAACCCTCGGTTGAGTGACATCGAGCTGCCGATGGGCGCCAAGACGAGGTTGTTGGTTCACATCTCAGTTGATGCGATGCTGCTCCCAATGCTCGCCAAGGGCATGGACTCACGCGCCCAGGTGGAGACCTACTTGAAGTTCTGCATCGATCGGTTCAAGGACGTCGACATCTTGGAGCTCGACGCGAACGCGGGCGCGTGCATATCGGAGTGCCTCGACGCGTGGCATGCCGTGTGCGCCCTCGTGTGCTTGGATCTGGACCCCGAGCTGGAGGATTCTCGGGCCCAGACCACCACCCCACCTAGTTTGCGCTAGTGGCCAGGAGGAGCTTTTCCGCATTCCAGCGTGGTTGTCTCATTTCATCTGCGTTGGTGTTCGGTACTTGCCCCAGGGCCAAACGTCCTCAACCATTGTTTTCGGTCCCCGAAGGTCCTAGTTTTCGTCGGGCGTTCGCGCCCGCGCGGGCTCGAACACGCGCGGCTGCGTTTTTGGAGCTAGGGGCGGGCGTACTTTCAAGTGGCGTTTTTGGTGTGTCCTGCAATTCCTTCGGGCCAGATCAGCGGTCGCTGAACGCAGCCGATACTTACGTCCAGACCCTCGCTGGGTCGTAGCCGCCCCCCCGAAACAAACCACCACGCCGAACTGAACGTTGCTTTGGCCCCGACCCCTGGAGGGGGCCATAGGAGTGCGTGCAGCGCCTCAAGGCCGCCATTGGCAAGACGACCAGGTCGCCCCTGACGGTCGTTGCCGCGGCGGTCGACTCCGACACGTGGTACTCCCAGATGCTGTCCGACTACATCGAGTACGCCCCTGGCTTGCTCAAGTACCACGTGCGCGTCGCCGAGCTGAGCAGTTGGGCCGACACCTTCGAGGCAGGCGCGGACACATACGACACGCTGGCCGAGCACATCAAGGAGGTGTCCATCATGAAGGCCCAATTGCGCCCTCAGTCGGTGAACTTCCTGGACGCTAAGATGGCAGCCGCCCTCGCTGCACAGCACGCCCGCGTCGCTGCCTCTGTTGCGGGGCCAGATGCGATGCAGAGGTGGAGTGCCGTGCTCGCCGAGGCGTCCGCGTTGCTGCCGCACGACAGGCAGGTGGACGAGTGGAAGACCCAGAGCGCTGCGTCGTTGGCCAAGTTCGACCAGGCTTCCAAGATCGAGGCGATCTGCATGCTGCGCGAGGTGGTCCTCGACGTCGCCACGCGCGGCCCGCAGGCATCCACGTTGGAGCTCGTCGCGTCGAAGATCCAGCCGTTGTTCAACGCAGTGAGTGGCGCATTCATCGTGTGCAGCGCCCTCAAGGATGCCGAGATCGCGACCATCTCAGAGTGCACCATGGCGCTGTCCGAGTCGGTGGCGTACGAGATGACAATGGCCAACGTCGGCTTGCTCAACATGGCTGGCGCGTTGCACGTCCTGGACCTCGCCTCCAAGCTGACCCAGCTCTTGGGTGACCGCGCCAGCCAGACCTTCTACGTCGCCCACTTGCAGAAGACGATCAACATGCTGGACGCATGGGGCATGATGACGCCCCTCGCCGACATGCACACGACGGATGAGCTGGTCGAGGGCATCTCGGCGTTCGCTGAGTTCCCTGCTAAGCTCGAGGCACTCACCCAGACGGCGTCTGAGCTCGCCGAGTTGAGCTTGACAATGCCACCCGCGGCCAGCTACACCGCCGACAGGGTCAAGGCCTTCTACGCCGAGAGTTCGGACCGCTTGCGCAGCATCCTGAGCGCCAACCTGGCTGGGACGACTGCTGGCCTCGTGAAGGTGGCCACTTGCCTGGCCGACATGGCCAAGGGCACGCAGCTGGGCGACGGCGACCAGGCGATCCCGTGGCAGGAGACGTTCACAGGCAAGAGCTGGGACGAGTTCCTGGCGCACGCCGAGGTGACGCTGCTCACGCTCAACCCCAAGGCCCTCGAGTCTTGCATCGACGAGACGAAGAAGGCGTCGCGGGGGAGAGCGCGAGGGGGGGAAGGAGGCAAGGAGAGGAGGAGGAGGGCCGCGTCTCGCACGGCGGGCCTAGAAGGAGAGGAGAGAAAGAGGAAGGAGAGGAATGAGGCAAGGAGAGGAAGGAGGCACGGAGAGGAAGGACGCAAGGGGGAAGGAGGCAAGGCGAGGAAGGAAGGATAAGAGGCGGGAGAGGGAATCAGACGGCAAGGAGAGGCAGGAGGCGAGGAGAGGAAGGAGGCAACGAGAGGACGATGGCCGCGTCTCGCCGCTTGCGGCATCGCGAGGCCCTCCAGATGTACCTCGCTGCTGCCGCAGTTGGCGGTGGCGAGCCCGACGCACACCTCGTTGGCAAAGTGCAGAACACCATCCTGAATGGCCACATCACGAAGCTCAGCGGCATCCTCTGCCACAAAGTCAAGACCATCGCGGACCTCGGTCCGCTCCGTGATGCCGTCCAGAGCGAAATGCTTCATTTCCGCAAGGAGACGGGAATGAAAAAGGAGAAGGAGCTTCTCCACCCTGTGCTGCTCGCCAGGGCGATGCAGGCCCTCAAGAAGACGTAGGTAGGCGACGCCCTGCCAGCCACCGCCAGCCCTCGAGCTCGCTGTCAGAGCGACGGGGCCAGCCCATGTGGTATGTGGTGCACATGTTATTGTATAAGTTTGATATGTTATGTTATGCTATGTTCACAAACATGCACACGCAAGCACCAACCACGGGCACCAGCGGCACGTTCGCACGACCAAGTTTGCTTGCTGCGTGGACGGCGCCGCGCCACCGACAGCGCCGCCACGCTGGAGCACCGATGCATCAGCGCAAAAACCAACACCACAAACGACGTCACGCAATGGGGGAGGGTGGTGGACGAGGGGGAGTGGGCGAGATGGCGCGCAGGAGGGAGGCCCGCTCCCTTGCTCCGCCGTTCCTGGCCACTCCTCCTCATCGCCTTTCTGCCCCCTCTTTTTCCACTTAATCTCCCGTCCCGCTACCCCTGACCTTCATCATCCCTCCTCCCCCCTCTCCGCCCGCCCCGCGGGCCTGGGCCCTGCGTCGAGGCCGACGGGTGGCCGCGGCCGCACTTGTGGGGGATCTCCCTCGTCGTCGCCCTTCCCCCCCCCCCTGCTGTCGTGCTCGCTTTTCTTCCCCTCGTCCTCTCCCCCCTCCCCGCCCTCGCTCTCGCCTCCGCCCGCGCCCTCCCCCCCCTCCCCCCATCCGCCGTTGCCATTTTGGTTCAAGAACGGCTGGCGGGCCCCTGGGGGCCAAGTCTCGGCGTTCCTTGTTCCTGAGGGGCGCGCGAGTGCCCCGTTGCGCCCTCTAGCTCGTTCGCGCGGCGGTTTCGCCTTCCCTCCCTCGGGAGGCGGGCCTCGGCTTTGGACCCGCTCGGGCGCGAGGCGCGCCTCCGCTTGGCGACTCCCCCGACTCAGCCCAGTAGGCTTTGAGTCGGGCGTCGATGGGGCCTTTTTTTGCGTTTGACTTTGGTTGTGCAGAAGCGTGCCCTGGGGGCTTCGGGGCGCGCGCACTACGCCCCGTAAGAGCGGATCTGGCGCAGCGCCCTTGGCGGCAGAGGCGCGCGGGGTGCCCGCAGATGGCGCGGGGGAGCTCTCGATGCAACCTCGCGCCTCGCTTTCCTCGGCCCCGTGCTTTCGTACTTACTTGGAGCTTTAAAAAATCCATACATTTATGAATTTGCCAGGAGTTACTTTCAGGTTTTCCATAGGTTACTTTAATGTTTTCCCATATGAGCCTCTTTAGCTGCCGTATTCCTTCACAACACTTCCCCCTCCTCCTGCCCCTCCTCCTCCTCCTTCTCCTCCTCCTTGCTGTACCCTTCTTCCCCCCGAGGCATTTTACAGCTCGGCTGCGGAACGTGTGGAAGCCCTGTGGTTTCACTGTGATTTATTGGGCGCCGCAAAAAACGAAATCGGACGAGGAAAAGGTACCCATACCAACCCGTCCCTTGTTTTCGCTCTTTTGGGCCTTCTGGGAGGCCCTCGTCGCCACGGCTGGATTGAGCTCGATTTTTTGGTCAGAAAGCACCTTGGGAGAGGTCCGTGGAGTAGCGGTCGATACCTTCGGGTTTTGGTGCATCTTACAGCCTGCACAAAAACACAGATCGAGGGCCCACACTGGCAAACATGCCCGTAACATTGCAGATTCATCTGACACCGCAGATTGGGATGGCTTGCTCTTCGGGCATCGTTCCCTCGCAGCCTTGGAAGCGCCTTGCCGCCCAGGGCCCCTCTGGAGCCCGAGCACGGCCGGTGGTGGGTCGACACTTCCAAGTGGCTTTGGCTGTGCTGCCCGCTGCCCCGGGCCTTGGAGGTGCCACAAGCCCACAGAGGGCGGGGATGGCGGGGGTAGGGGGCCCGAAAAAAGGCACCTCCACCGCTTCCCTCCACCCCCCCCTGCCCCTCCAAGGGAAACGGAGAGGGCGAACAGAGAGGCAGAGGAGGGAGGGGGGATGGAGGTGGAGGTGGTGGTGGTGTATGGTCCCGGAGCCCGCCTCAGCGCTGCCCCGAGGCCCAGCACACGTCACCCCGCCGCCCAGGCCAGCTCTCGGCGAGGGAGGGGGGGGGGAGGGCAGGCAGCGGCTCGCCGCAGCACGGGAAGCGCCGCCCAGCCCCCCGCGGGCCCATTCTGGAATCTGCGCCTCCCGCCTCCCCTTGGTGGAGGGTTTCCCCGAAGGGCTTAGGCGACCCCTCCTCCTCCTCCTCCTCCTCCTCCTCCTCCTCCTCCTCCTCCTCCTCCTCCTCCTCCTCCTCCTCCCCTCCTTCCCCTCCTCCTCCTCCTCCTCCTCCTCCCCCTCCTCTCCTCCTCCTCCTCCTCCTCCCCCTCCTCCTCTCCTCCTCCTCCTCCTCCTCCTCCTCCTCCTCCTCCTCCTCCTCCTCCTCCTCCTCCTCCCTCCTCCCCTCCTCCCCCTCCCCCCTCTCCTCCCTCCTCCTCCTCCTCCTCCTCCTCCTCCCTCCTCCTCCTCCTCCGAGGTCTCAGAGTTCGGGGGAGGCTCGGACAACTTTTCTCAGAAGCCCAGTGGGCGTCTGAGCGTTCTGAAAAGGGCCCGCCCCGCCCTCTCCCGAGCGCGAGGACGAGGAGGAGGAGGAGGAGGAGGAGGAGGAGGAGGAGGCGGAGGAGGAGAGGAGGAGGAGGAGGAGGAGGAGGAGAGGAGGAGGAGGAGGAGGAGGAGGAGGAGGAGGAGGAGGAGGAGGAGGAGGAGGAGGAGGAGGAGGAGGAGGAGGAGGAGGAGGAGGAGGAACAGCAGCAGCAGCAGCAGCAGCAGCAGCAGCA